TCTCGTGTGTGTGTGTGTGTGTGTGTGTGTGTGTGTGTGTGTGTGTGTGTGTGTTTTCGGTGTTCAGGCGTCGATGGTGACGCGACTGCTGCACGCCAATGCTGCCGACCAGTTCTCAGCCATCCTCCTCTCGGTACAAACATGCACGCACACATACATGCTCATGTGCATACACACCCACACTCACACGCACACTCGCACACACACGCACACGCACACTTCACTGCCGCCTCAACTTTGCTTCCCGTGACTTGCTTCCGACGTCTCTCACCACCATCACCACCACCATTATCACCACCACCATCGCCACCACCATTGCCACCATGACGCAGGGCAACATCCGTGCGATCAAGGCGCTTGTGCGCATCTTTGCTAAAGGGATTGAGGCTGTGAGCGAGAGCGCAGACGTGACGGCCGCCATGTCCGAGACGACAACAGCGCTCCTCACACACGTCATCGCCATCATCAAGAACAGGAAGTCAGTGCCGTTTGAAATTCCTTTGCCGCGTGTTGTGGCTGTGCATTGAAGGTGGTTGTTTGTTGTTGTGGTTTGTACTGGTTACTTTGGATTGTGCGACGCAACACTTGTGTCTCCTTCTCACCCCTATCATGACTGCCACCACCATCATCACCATCATCATCACCACCACGACAACGACCCACCACCATCATCATGATCGTGATCATCATCGTCGTCGTCGTCATCGTGATTGTTCGTCAGGGTTGGACTGGATGGTCGCGCTGCTGCCGTCAACGCCATCATGACAAACGCAAAGCGAGCCGACATTGCAAAGAGGTGTGGATCGTCACTGTGTCATGACTGACTGCTTGACGTCGCATGTTCGTGCTTGCATGCTGGTGCTTACACACACTCTCACACTCACACACACATTCACTCACTCACTCACACGCTCACTCACTCACACTCACACTCACACGCTCGCACGCTCAAAACACACACCTCCATACACTCACACACCGTGGCATTACATCAGGTTCATGACGCTTGGCGGTGTGCGTGCGCTGTTGATCCTCGCTGCCCTGAGCCCCTCCCCACTGCAGCATGCGCAGGCAGCAGCAGCAGCAGCAGAGGGGAAGAAGCAGGTGACCAAGGGTGACAAGAAGGAAGGAGATAAAGGCAAGGACGATACCGCTGGTGCTGGCGATGCAAATGACGGCGCGCTTGGACTGCGTGGTGCCATCTCCGTGACCCTTCAGCGCATTCATGATGCAACCAAGGCCAAAGGACTGCCTGACGAGCAGTTTGTTGCCGACTGCCTCAACCAAGTCAAGTGCGTGTGTTGTTGCTTGAATCAAAGCTTCAGTGCTGGGTGGTGTGACGCTGCTTGTGTTGTGTGGTCTTGATGATGCACCCGCGGACACCACTTGACAACTGTCATAAACTGACAGCAACTCAACGCCCCATGCGGCGCGCACACGTGTGTGTGTCTGTTTGTGCGTCTGTGTGCGTCCCTGTGTGTGTGTGTGTGTGTGTGTGTGTGTGTGTGTGTGTGTGTGTGTGTGTGCGTGTGTGTCTGTGTGTGTGTGTGCGTGTGTGTGTGTGTGTGTGTGTGTGCATGTTTTCAGGTTTGTTGACGACCCCCAGGCCAACCTGCCTGCCACGAATGTTCTCATCACCATCATGGCCGCTGTTGTTGATGTCGGCAACCAGGTGTCGTTTCCACACACAAACACACACACACACACATGGATGCATGCACTGCTCATCACGCTTGCCCTTACATCATCTGTGCTGTTGTGCTGCACCTCCCATATGGCCATCCTCTCACGCACACGACTCCCATACACACCACCACCACCACCACCACCATCATGAACATGTGTCTGGCGCCGCAACAGATCCTGGAGCATGAGGATGTGTTTGCGCATCTGATGAAGATGGCGCAGTCTTCGGATATGGAGGTGCAGTGTGCCGCTGCTGAGGCCATTGCACACGCCGCATCAGACAAGAAGCGAGCACGTGGAATCATGATGGAGGTGCGCGCGTGTATTCGCGTGTGTTGTGTTTATCTCTGTTGTGTGTGTGTGTGTGTGTGTGTGTGTTGACAGTCGTTTGTTGGAGTTTGCAACAGCTTCGGTTACAGTTCCTCAACGCCTCCCGCCCAACACACACGCAAACGCGTGTGCATTAGCTGCCGTTGTTCCCTCATCGCACCACATGCACCCCCCCCCCCAACACCCAACGCGCCGCCTCTATCTAGGGTTTCCCGATCCTGAAGACGCTGTATGCAAAGGAGCTGCCTGATGTGATTCGTGTGCGGGCGCTGTGCGGCCTGTGCAAGATGGCGAGTGTTGGCTCTGGCGCCAAGAATCTTCGCTCCATGTCCGAACACTCCATGATCAACCTCGCAAAGAAACTCAGGCCGTGAGTTGCAATGCGTCTTGCTTGTAGTGCTGTATGTCTGTCGTGTGGTTTTGTTATGTTGGTGTTTTTGATGTTGGATTTTGTTTGGACGACGGGCAAGTCAATGACACTGTTGCGGTCGCGCAACAAGAGATCCATCCATGCAATTGCTGTTTCCAATGCTTGCAGGCATCACACGCTTGTCACATCCCCCGTCATGTGAGCATGTGTTCACCACCACCACCACCTCGTCCTCCTCCTCGACCATGACAGGTTTCTGCTTGAGTCGTCGCACGATGACGATGTGCGCAAGTGGGCGAGCGAGGGTCTGGCGTACCTCAGCCTCGATGCCGATGTCAAGGAGCTCATTTCCAATGACGATGCCGTCCTTAAGGCCGTGCACCGCGTCTGCGTCGGCCAAGGTGCGCGCACACACACACACATACGCAGCAGCAACACCAACAGCAATAACACCAAGCACAAGAGCAACGACAACATCTTAAATCATAGTGGTGGTGGTACTGCTGTTGATGTCAGGAGTGTGTGGGGGGGGTGGTTTGTTTGGTTCTTGACACACTCGCACTCACATTCACTTCACCAACATGTTGTGTGTGTGCATACGTGCTGTTGCTCGCGCCAGACACGACCATCCAGTTTTCGCTGGCGAACATGCTTGTGAATTTGACCAACAGCTTCGACAAACCGGAGGCATCCGAGGAGCAGGAACAGCTGAAGAAACTCGGTGCTGTTGTTGTTTAAGTTGTTGTTTAAGTTGTTGTTGTTGTTGTTGTTGTTCGTGTGCTCGTGTGTTCGTGTGCGAGAGATAGCGCATCCCCTGCCTGCATTGACATGAGCGCATATGTGTGCGTGTGTGCGTGTGTGTGTGTGTGTGCGTGTGTGTGTGTGTGTGTGTGTGTGTGTGTGTGTGTGTGTGTGTGTGTGTGTGTGTGTGTGTGTGTGTGTGTGTGTGTGTGTGTGGCGGACCCATGTTGCTTGCAGGCAAGTTTGCCGGAGAAAACATCCCCGAGCCGCATGAGAAGGACGCAGATGAGTTTGTCCAAAAGCGAGGTGCGTTCATCGTATGCATGTGTGTGCGTGCGTGTGTGTGTGTGTGTGTGTGAGAGAGTTTTCGCGTATGTCACGGATGTCATGGCACACAAGAACACTCTCACACTCTCCTCGTGTTTTGTACACCCTCTCAATGGTTGCATTTCTTTATTGTGTGTGCGTGTGTGTGCAGTTGACCGGCTGGTTGAGCACGGGTTCGTGACGGCGCTGGTGCAGCTCTCAAAGACCCAGAGCGAGGGAACCCGCGAACAGGTATGCACACGCACACATTCGCGCCGTCCACTACTTGTTTTGCACCCCCCCCCCTTCATCACCCACCACGTTCACCGCCGTCACCACGACTGTGCGGATGTGTGCCACAGGTTGCGCGTGTGCTGCTTGCGCTGACGGAGAAGCAGCAGCATCGTGGCACCGTTGTTGCCCAGGGCGGCGCGCGCGTACTGCTCGAACTCGCCCGCGAAAACACGGACAAGGGTACGCAGCACACACGCAGCTTTGTTTGCTTGTTTGCTTGCTTGGTTTGTTTGCTTGCTTGGTTTGTTTGTTTGTTTGTTTGTTTGTTTGTGTGCCTGTCTGTCTAAAGCCCATGTCCACATTCCTCCCATGTCAGTTTGCATTCGCCCCGCTCACGTGTTCCGATTTACTCATGTTGGATGTGGCAGGCATGATCAAGGCTGCCCACGCGCTTGCAAAGATTGCAATCACCACAGACCCAACGTAAGCCCCGCTCTTGTTCTTGCTCACCATGTTACGATAGCCTGCTTTACATGTTGCGTGCTCACATGTGCACCTGCACACCTCCACCACTACTCCTCCCATGCACGTGCGCATGTTGTTGTTGTCTTCAGGATTGCGTTTCCTGGTCAGCGCGTCGCCGAACTCGTCAAGCCACTCGTCAAACTCTCAAGGTGACACACACACACACACACGTCACACATGCACACATACACACGCACACACCGAGCCGGATTGCTTGCACATTTTCATGCGCACAACATCAACCATGCCATGATCTGCCTTTTTTTCGTGGCGCTGTGGATGCTAACGCATCATCATCATCATCATCATCATCATCATCATCATCATCATCATCATCATCATCATCATCATCATCATCATCATCATCATCATCACCACCACCACTGCCGATGGTTCAGGGAGCGCAACGGGCTGATGATGTTTGAGGCGGCAATGGCCATGACAAACCTTGCTTCCATCAATGATGACCTCAGGTGCTGCTTTCGTGTCGTCGCAATCCCCTCATGTGCGCATGTGTGTGCATGCGTGTGTGTGTGTTGCGTATTCGAACGTGTGTTTGTACGTTTGTCCACGTGGCTGTTCGTGTGTGCAACTCCCTGTACCTCATCAACGTGACATCAACTACCACTGCCAGGAACAAGCTGCTGCGAGACAAAGCGGTTGCGCGGTTGGAGGACATGATGTTTGATGAGGATCCACTCATTCGCCGCGCAGCAACAGAGGGGCTCTGTAACTGCTTCTACTCGGAGAAAATCTTCGACCAGGTGACACAATGTGCATTATGGGGAGTGGTGCGTGTGTGGCGTGTGGCGTGTGGCGTGGAGAGAGGGTCGTGCGTTGTTTTTGGGCTTCACCGCATGTTGTGCAGTTGCCAGTGCGCATGTTAGCTATGGTGTGGCGCATTGTGCCGTGTCGTATGCACCACTTGCCTTCGTCTCATCTCTGGTGTCACCACGTGTACTCCTTTCCCCGCTGCTCTTGTTGTTGTTGCTGCTGTTCAACAGTTTGCGAAGAAGGATGGCGCGAGCTTTGAGCGACTGAAGCTCTGGATTCTCTTCGCCGGCGTTGAGCAGGACGACTTTGACCTCCGTAAGCACACAATCATACACACACACGCACGTGCCGTTATATTCGCACGCATGCACTCGTGTAAACCTATGCACGCAAGCGCGCGCGCACACACATACACACTCACACTCATGCACACACACACATACACACAACGCACTCACACTCATGCACACACATACACGTACACACACACACACAACGCACTCACACACATGCACACACATACACGTACACACACACAACGCACTCACAAACACACACACACGCACACACACTCATGCACACACACACAATGCCATGTGTCTGCAGCGACGTGCCGTGCTGCGAGCGGCGGACTGGCGATTTTGTCCAGCAGCCCCGACGTGTGTCAGCGCATTGTGGACGAGAAGCAAGGCATGCAGGTCCTCAAGGAGCTCATGGTACGCCAAGGCAATGTTGGGGGGGGGGGAGGGTGGTTGTTTTGCTTGGGGGGGGGGGTGGCTGGTGCTTGCTCTGCACTGTGCTGTGGAATGCCTGTGGGCAGTCTTTAGTTCTGTTTCCCGATATGGGAGTGTCATGCGCAATTCACACACACACACACGCACACACACACTTGTGCAGGTGTGCGGAGAGGCTGAGCTGCAGCATCGTGGCCTCCACATTGCTCGCAACATGGTGGCAACCAGCAAGGTCAGTGGCATTGTGAATTGTGACCGTTCATCCCGTGTTGCCTGCATGCACTGTCAAAAGTGGAGAAATCAAAAACAACGCCCTCCATCTCATTCGTTGTTGTTCTGCCTTTGGCTTACACAGGAGATTGCACAGCATTTTACGGAGCAAGAAATGCTCGTGATCATCACAGCACTGGAAGTCACGTCCACCAACGTCACCATCAAGCAATACACCCTCAACGTACGTCAACATCGCTTTGTCAAACACAAACACACAAACACGAACAAACAAACAACGCAAACACACCCACACCCACATACATATACACAAACAACGAAAACACACACACAAAAAAAAAAAACGCAAACGTGTGCTTCCCTCCCCTCCCCTCTTCCCTCCTTGTGTACATGCTCACAGATTCTGGAGCAGCTTGCCAAGTACGGGCTGGTTGAGTCTGTTGAAGCCGTGCGCAAGTCTGCCGTTGGCGCTGCTGCGGAGATACAGGCAATGCGCCAACGCTGGCAGGAGGAGGCAAAGGCGCGGCAGGAGGAAGAGGAAGAGGAAGAGGAACTGAGTGATGCCGATGATGATGGTGATGACAAGGAAGAGGAGGAGGTGGAGGAGATTGAAGCAGACACGACGAAGAAGATGGAGAAGACGAAGAAGAAAGGCGACAAGAAAGCGGATGATGTGGAGGAAGCGCCACAATACGTTGCGCCCGCACGCCCTGATGATGACACGGGACCCAAGGTGGAGATCCTCGAGGAATAGCCAACGCACACAGCCACGCACGCGCTTGTCTGTGTGTGTGTGTGTGTGTGTGTGTCTGTGTCTGTGTGTGTGTGTGTGTGTGTGTGTGTCTGTCTGACCTTGCCACCTCTATATGTGCCACCCTCCCCCCCCCCCTCAATCGTGCACACCAATCCCTTACCTGCGTCTCACGTGCTGCCTCCACATCCTCCCTCAACATGCTCAATTGGAGCTCTCGCATAAACCCCGGTCTCTTGTTTGCGTGTGTGTTATTGGAAGGTCACGCGGTGACAACAGAGATACGGAGAGGGCGCTCCAAACAACACACGCCCAGAAGCAAAAAGAGGAGGAAGAAGAAGAGAAGAGGGCATCTTACATGTTGTGCACAGCACAGGCAGAGATATAAGGGAAGGGTAAGGAAGGGAGACAATTATCGCTTGTCAAACATCGAACGCTAGTTGGGAAAGGGGGTAACGGATGCCTGCGCACACGCGTCAATGGCAATGTGTGCAGCAACAATGAGACACCGAGTGTGCATCAATTTGCGGTCAGCAACAACAATGGACTAACCAAATCAAACAGAGCGCACACGCACAGGCGCTTGAGAGGGGAGGGATGGGTGGCACGTGAGGCGAGGTTATGTGATGTGAAAGCAATGCAACAACACAATAACAGGACAGAGACCAGCCGATACCAAAACAAGACCTCACGTGCATGTATGGGGAAGTGGACGGGTTGTGCACGTTGCGCGCCGTGCACGACATATGTACAGTGCCAATCCATCCACACCAACACGCACCAGGACACCAGCGAGTGCACACGGGGCTGTCACAGACAGCGCGATGATGCGCACGCGTGCCATGGGAACTGATGGGTGCGCCACTACAACCGTGGGATGGTTGACAAGAGGATGGAACGAGGGGGTGATAATGCACGCAGTGGGCGTGAAACACATTCCATGGAGAAGTGGTGGTAACGAGGGTTGGAAAGGAGGGCTTGCCTTGACCAAAGCACAACGCAGAGGGTACGAGAGACGTGGGCAGGGTGAACGGTGTCCATGTTCGCGCCTTCACTTCAGTTGTCCCACATGGTGATGAGCTTCCACTCGCCCGGAATTTCGGACTTGATGTACACGAGACCGTTTGCCTGCGTGGACTCAATCTCCGCGTTGATGGCGGCGACAGACACGCCGTGTTGAAGCATGCCCTTCACAATCTGCCGCATAATCTTCTTCCCTGTGGATGTGATCATAACAACGGGGCAGCATGGGGGGGGGTGTGGAGGCGAGAGGGTGAGAAAACACTGAGTGATGGAGGACACAAGGTTACCGTCGGGTGGTGATGATATGAAGGCTGATTACAGAGGAGATGCAAGCACGTGCACAGCGTTTCGGATTCCAAAATACATGTGTGACCTACAGTAGGTGACGGAGAACTTGGCGTTTGAGCCCTCTGTGACCTTCACCTGTTGGTACACCTCGTGTTTGGACACCAGCTTGCCCAGGTGCTTGTGTAGATCGCGGGTGAAGTTGTTGATTGTGCTGGCAAACTTTGCCTGCAGGCAAAACCAAATCCAAAGAGAAGCGCACGTGAAGCAGTGTGTGAGATTGTGTGCGACGAGTGGCAAGAGCCTTGCAGATGCACAACAAGCAGGTTGGGCCTCAACGTTCGTTCACGTGGCACACACACACATGCCACACATACATGCATACGTGCGGTTATATTCGCACACACACCCGTTCACACACACCCGTTCACACACACACACACATACACACACACACACACACACACACACACACACACACACACACATACACACACACACACACACACACACACACAATGTACACGTACGAGGACGGGAAAGGACGGAGCCTGCGCAGGGGACCTGCCACCAGCGCTGCTGGCGCCACCAGTGGCAGCCACTACGGACGGCGATGCTGATGGTGACACTTCGTGGGACCGAGTGGTGTGGTGCTCGCGCCTCCGCTGTTGTCGCGCTTGCCGGCGCCTGCGGCCCGCACGCTGTGCTTTCCCACCACCAGCATGACGAGCACTGCTGCTGCTGCCGCTGTTGCCACCCATGGCGGTGGTGGCAACATCTGCAGTGGCTGCTGGAGCAAGGCCGGTTGGGCCGATGCTCGGGGAGTGGGGGCCGGGCATGGCGGAGGGCGCTTGTGTCTGCGCAGGAGGCATCCCGCCCTGGTTCGCAGCCACACCGCCAAACAAGAGGCGCGGATCTGGCATGCCAGGCGCCATGTCTGGCATGCGCTGCTGCTGTTGCTGCTGTTGTTGCTGTTGCTGTTGAAGCATCTGGAACTGAGCAAACACCTGCTGCTGCTGCTGGGCGAGGAGGGCGCTGACATGGGTGAACTGGTGCCGCTGCAGATGATGCACCAGTTGCTGCAGCAGCCGCGGCGATGACTGGGCCTGATCCAAGGCAAGGGCATGCAGTGGAACGCCCTGGGGCTGCATTTGGGGCTGCTGGTGCTGGTGCTGGTGCTGGTGCTGGTGCTGGTGTGGCTGCATGCTCTGTTGGGGCTGCGACATGTCACATGCTGGCGGGAGCACGGGCGATGGTTTTGCCGTGTCCTGGGTCATGGCATCTGCGAGGTGATGTTGGACCTGCTCTTGCTGTTGCGGCTGGGCCGTGAACTGCTGATGAAGCGGGTGTGGCCGGTGGATGGGCTGCGGCGCTGCAAACGCTGTCAGCGGGGGCGACTGTCGTGCCAACTGCTGCAGCATGGGGTCTGGCACGGGCGAAGGCGTAAGCATGAGGCCTGACATGGTGGCGTCGTCGGTGTGGGCTGCGTAGGCCTGGGCGTGCTCAAACGTGGTGGGGACGTGAACGGTGGACGATGCCGGTGCAGCGGGTTGGGACTGCGCTTGGTACTGGGGCTGCTGGTATTGGGATGTGTATGAACTGCTGTCTTCGGTGTGCGGTGACTGGTCAATGTCTGTGACCACCTGGGCCGGCGTGGGTTGGTGGAAGGATGGCAACTCTGCAAAATCGCTGGGTTCGTTCGTGCCAAAAGGGTGGGTCCTGTTCGCGTGCACAAGAGGAGCGATGCAAGGGCGAGTGCGGCGGAAGAAGAAAGAGGGGTGAGTACGAGCGTGAGCGTGGGCTTGCGCGTAAGCATGGGTACGAGCGTGAGCGTGGGCTTGCGCGTGAGCGACAACAGGGCATGTTCACAGGCAAGAACAAACCAACACGGCACACATACGCACATGTAGACACGCGGGCGACAAGACACATACACGCACATTCTTCATACACATGTACATACATACGTACACACTCTCCTTCTCACTCACAGACCCGCACATACACACATGCATTCATTCACGCATATTCGACATCTTACTCACATGACAGGCCGTTCGGCTATGGACGTTGACATTGCCTCTCACGCGAAATGCCAAACACAAAGCCAAGCGGAAGAATGCAAATGAGAGGGATCGAGGGAAGGTTGTTCGAGTGTTTGCACTGACACCTGACGGCGGTTGGTTGCTGGGAGCGGTGGGGTGTGCTGTTGCTGTGAAAACGGCGGGCGTTGCTGTTGTTACACCAGATGAAGATGAGCAAGACGGGTTGCTGGTCCTGGCAGTGGGGCTGCGCAGCCTTGTTGTTTCGGTGCGTAGCACGTGCGTGTGGGGGTGGTGTTTGTTTGTTGTTGTCCTGGTCACAGACACAGAAGTAATCCCTCAACTGAGTGGGGAAGTGGGTCGTTGCAAACGAGGTTGAAGCTGCAAGCTTCTCAACCAAAAGTGCACAGCACTGCGCGTGGCGCCGGGGGGGGGGGGTTGTTTTGTGTTTTCCCCTCCTGTGTGACGTCGTCGTGATGAACGCTGGCTCACGCGGGTGGAAGAGAGAGGTGTTGGAGGGGGGGGGGAGGAAGGGCTGATGGGACGAGACGGCGCCGGGCCGCAGCAAAGCAGGGGACTGCTGTTGAGCAGCGGTGTGAAGTTGCACGCAACGAGAGAGAGAGAGGAGGGAGAGAGAGGAGAGAGAGAGAGGAGAGAGCAAAGCAAGAAGGGAAGAGGTTCAGGAAAGTGGTGGTGATGCTGCTGCTGGTATTGAGCAGGCAGGCTGTGGGAAGGGTCGTGTCAAACAGCAGAAAGCACAGGGAGCGAATGGAAGTGGGGGGGGGAGCGGCGTCAGTGTTACAAAGAGACGGAGCACGGAAACCCACGCGTGTGTTTCAAACACCACTCACGAGGACGTGGTTGTGTGTTTGTGTGAGTGAAAGGGATGGGAGGGGGGAAAAGGCAGGAATGCCTGGTATTGGGAATCAGGGTTCAAACGCACGCGCGCCACTGGCGCCAGCTTTGTGTGGCGGGCGTGCTTGAGAGTGGAACAAGAGAGGGATGTGGTGGCTTCAAACACGAAGACGACCACAACACAACACAAGGGCGAGCGAGCGGCAGAGGATGGCTCGACAAGCACCAGGCCACGTTCCCCAAAACACGTCGAGATGACGAGAGAGCCGGCGCGCGCCAACGGAATTCGACAAGGTTTGACACGTCTCACCACCCAGACACACGTTGGGGGAAAGACCAGCAAAAGCAGAGAGGCACAGCAAAACAAGAAGTAAGCAAGCAAGCAGGCAAGCGCCACTTCTATCGTGTGTATCGCTTGTCGCTCTCGCGCGCGCAAGGACGAGGGGGGAAAAGTCGGTTGGGGGAGTGTGCTTTGTGGTGTGTGGTTGAGTGCAGAAGAAAGAGAGAGGCCAGCGAGCGAGCAAAAGAAGGAGAAGTGGGGAGAGACGCACAAGCATCCAAGCAAGAAGGGGAAGAAGAAAGAGGGAAAAGCAACAACCTCGCACATGCAACGACAAGGAAAATGCAGGATGCTGGTGTGGCGATGAAAGGAGAGCTCGCGTGGACAGGGGACCTTGCTTGACTTGGTTGTGATGTTTGGTTTGGACACGCGCAATTCCCGCTGCAGCGCTCCCACGCCTTGACGTTGCTCGTGCTGTTGCTGCGCGTGGGTGACATGCAGCGCGCAGCATTGGTGGCCGTTGCCGTGCAGCGTGGGACAACCGCCAACGGTCACCTTGCTCACGCAACCCAAATGCATGCAGGCAACGGGTCAAAGCGGCCACCGAAGGCGAAAGGACGTGCTTTTTTCGTGGATGTACCACAATTTTTATCCCGGGTAGCGTATTGTCGCGAAGCGCGGCGCCCTTTGTTCGTTGTGGCCGTTAATGTCGCACGCACTCGAAACCAAGGTGTGCGTATTTTTTATTATTCTGGTGGTGCAAGCAGCAACTGCGCTTGTTGCCAGACAAGTGGCGAGCGAGGTGATCGGGAGCCAGGGAGGCAAGCAAGCAAGGCGGGAGACAAAGCAAGCAAGCAAGGCTGCAGCAGCAAGGCAGCACAGAAGTGTGACGTCAGAAACAAACGCCCCTTTTGTGGCAATGGTCGCTTGCTTGGGGATGTGGCATGTTGCCGTGGTATGATGAGGGGACGACAACAACAACAACAATGACACCCGTCGCGCCAGTGACGCCAGTGACGTGAGATTCGATCATGGGAACGCTCGTGCAGCGTGTGTGTGGTGTGCGTGTGGTGTGTGTGTGGTGTGTGGGCGGTGAAGGTTGGGTTGCGTGAACGAGAGCCTAGGTTGCGAGAGTTGTAGGCTAACAATGAGGTGACGACAAGTCGACAGTGCACGAGCCGTGGCGTGAGCAGTTGTGCGCTGCAGCAAGTGCAGTGCCTTCGTGCTCTGCTCTGCTCTAGGCTGCCTGTTATGCTGATGACGAAGTTGTTGACACAGCATCCTCTCCTTGTTGTTGTTGTTGTTGTTGTTGTTGTTGTTGTTGTTGTTGTTGTTGTTGTTGTTGTTGTTGTTGTTGTTGTTGTTGTTGTTGTTGTTGTTGTTGTGCTGCCGCTGGTGGTGGGGGTGGCGACGCTGCAAGCTCCTCCAACACCTTGTGCATGCGCTGGCGCGCCTTCTTCTTGTTCGACAGCGTCGCGTTCACAAGCTGCGTCAGCTGACGTTGCGTGTACATCTGCAAGTGTGTGTGTGTGTGTGCATGTACGTGTGTGTGCTTGGCGAAACGGAGCGTTCCAAATACACGTGCGAAGAAACAGGGGGCAGCATGGGAGCACACGCGTTGAGTGCACGCACCATAAAGTGTTGCCGCAGCCACGCCTCGAGGTCGTCCTCCGCCAGGTAATACGCGGTGATGTAGTTTTGCACCAGCTCCACATTCGGCCTTGACATGTGTACAGAGATCGTCAGATAGGCAGACGTGGAGCCGGTGGAGACGTGGAGAGAGGTAGAGAGGTGAACACAAACATTCATGTACACACGCACACAGACACACAGATACACACACACACACACAGACACACATATACATACTCACACACATACACCCACTGCACGGCAAGTCAAGGCCAAAACTCACTTGACGGACGTGAATTTCTCGATTCTGTTGAGAAACTGCTTGTAGTCGAGCTGCATCAGCGCCCGCCCCTCGTTCGTGCATTTCTTCGCAAGCGCAAACCTACAAACACACACACACACGTGCACACATACGCGTGACACGACATGAGCGTGCACAAATACGCACGACGCATCAGATGTTGAACGGAGACAGAAACACACTTCACAAACACACACACACACACACACACACACACACACACACACACACAACACGTACACACACACACCCGTCAACAAATGCGAGGTTTGTCTGCAAGAGCAGTTCCTGCCAAATCAGCTTCCTGGCGCCCTCGGGAAGTCGTTTTCTGTCGCGGGGTAATGCCACACGTGAGATAAATAACAACAAATGCAAAGCAAACACACACACATACATACACACACAATCCCACATACACACACACACAAACACACACAAACACACACACACACACACACATACATACACAACCCCGTGCATGGTGACTCACTCTCCGAGCGTGGCGAAGCGACCGTGGATGACTGTAAAATGCTGCACGAGCTCATCCACGTATGCGCTGTGCTCCGTCGTCACTTCTTTCTTGTCAAACCTGCCAGAACAACGTTGCGTCAGATGTGACAGTGTGTGCGTGTGTGTGAGTTGCAAGAAATGATGCAGTCGTTGCCTCAACGGCTGGCGTTGCGTCATGCACACGAGCGAGGCACAGGTGTGTGTGTGTGTGTGTGTGTGTGTGTGCGTGTGTGTACCTGGCGCGGGAGAAGAGGCCAACGACGTGCTGGTAATCCAGGATCCGTTGACACACGTGCTTGTACACAAACCAGCGAACCTCAACAACATGGTCCACAGTCTGTGCAGATTCCCGTGGGCACAGGATGGTGGATGAGGAGGTGGCGGGGGCGAGCAGTTGTGGTGGTGCGGCTCATGTCGCTGAAAACAGCATGCACAGCGAGGTGACAAGGGTGCACACACACACGCACACACACACACACACGCACACACACACACACACACACGCACACACACACACACACACACACACACACACACACACACACACACACACACACACACACACACACACACACACGCGCGCGCGCAAAAAAAAAAAAAAAAAAAAAGGCGCTCGTGCGCGTACGTTCGCGTAAAAGGCGGCGAGGTGCGGGTGTGCAGTGTCGGGGAGGCGGCGGAGCAGCGTGCGACGCAGCGAGCGGAAGACCGTCCCCAGGAACATGCTGATGGTGTTGTGTGGGGGCAGACGTCAGATGGTGGCGATGAGAGGCAGGGCGAGACAGAGACGTATCGAGACAGAGGTGCATACAGTATTGACTCATCTCGCTCACTCGCATGCGCCCATGCACACGCGCTAAACATGATGATCATGCACACAAACAAGCACACAAGCACACAAACAAGCAACCAACCAAACAAGCAACCAACCAAACAAACAAACAAACAAACAAGCAAACACAAACACACAAATACAAACAAACAAACAAACAAACAAACAAACAAACAAACGCGAAGCGCGTGTACGTACAGCCCTTCCGCTGCGGTGACGCGGGCGTCGAGGGCAAAGACGTTTTGGGAGAGGTTGAGCGGCACGGAATCAAGGAGCTGCGGATGTGTAATTGGTGGCCCGGATTTCCGACGCATCTTGGCCACGAGCGACGCAACAGAGGTCGATGGTGATGGCGGTGCTGTCGTTGCGCTGGTGGCGGTGTTGCTGCTGTTGCTGTCTGCCTCAGGCTTATTAGCTTCATCACCACCATCACCATCACCATCCTGCCCATCCTCCTCCCCCTCCTCCTCATCATCACCACCACCACCACCACCACCACCATCAGTTGTTGCGCGGCCGTCCTGCGGGTCCAGCTCCTCGCCGCCACCACCACCATCGCCA